TGTCACTGGGGGGCGGGGAGCGGGCAGCTGGTGGGGTGGAGCCTGTCGGCGCGGCTGAGCTGTCGAGGAGCCACGCCGGGTGAGGGGCTTGGCGACCGGGGTCGGGCGGGGGCGGCGCGTGCTCGCAGGTGGTCGGAGGCGGGGGCTGAGGGGACGCGCAGGGTCCGGGGCTGGAACCCGATCGATCGAGGCACGGGTCAGGGTCGCGGGATGCTGTCAGGCGGACTCTCTGATCTGTGGGATCCCCAGGGGAGAGGTGAGGGATCGGATGAGGGACGCGGGGAGGTGGCCTGGTCCAGCCCCAGGGCTAGGGAGGAAGGGACACCGTTGCCATGGCAACAGATGCGCAAACTAGCTAGGCTCCGGTTGCTCCGACCCCTTTGACACCCCGCTGCGGCGCACTTGAGCGCACTTAGAATCCGCGCCCTGCCCGTTCCTCTGCCCCACCTCCCCTGCCCCCAAGGCCTCCAATCAGCTAGGCAGCTAGGTCCAGAAGCTAGGCAGGGATAACCCGCTTGGGCATCCGTCTCTCTGCCACGTCTTATCGCTCTCCTCTGCTTTCCCCTACCTCCTGCTGTACACCCCCCCCACCCCCACCAGCAAAGGGATTAAGCTCGCCCTGCTGCTCGTGGTACGACAGGCCTTTGCAGTCTGGCCAGTTCGCAGAATGGCCCCAGCTGGAAGCCTCCTTTGCAGGGGGCTGGCACCGCGCAGCCGCTACTTGGGGGACAGGTTTTTAAAAAAGCATCCAGCGCGAAGCCATGTGCATAAGTACTGGAGACTGAGGTCTAACTGGCCGAATGAAGCCCACGTTGACCAATTGCTGCAAGTATTAAGATACCACCTATGCAATTTTGTGTCTACTAATAGCCATGGTGGTCTAGTGGTTCCACGTTGGACTGCGAGCTGCAAGGTCCGTAGCTCCAAACCACCAGCCTGAAGAGTTACCACCTACAGGGGCAGTTCTACCCTGCCCAATGGGGCGGGCTTGCTATGAGTTGAAATCGACTCCATGGCAGTGGATTTTGACTTCAAAAACAAAAAAAACCCACTTGCTTCTATTTAACACATCCTCAGTTGGACCAGCCACGTTTCACCTGTTGAGTGGTCCCAAGAGGCTTATGGGTACTGTTTTGGATTTAACAACCATAACCGTTCTTGTTCATGTGTGAGTTATAGCCAAACTTATGAAATCAAGTTCAACCAGATCCTATGAAGGCCTACTGTGTGTAAGAGGCTCTGTGCAGGGAGACTACAAAATTGGAGGGGCCTTGTCCTTTCCTTCAGGGAGCTTGCAGTCCAGTGTGGGGGAAAATAACCACCCACACAAGTTGTCTTTTAGGTGGATACAACTCGGACAGTTGTAAAGATAACTTGTCACAGATGATTCATTGACAAACTAGGTGACTAGTAACTATAAGAATGACAGGGAGAGACACTTCAGGGTCATGCAGTAGAGGAAGGCTTGAATTGAGTTTTAAAAGATGGGTAAGATCAGCCAGCTGGGGAAAGATGGGGAGGGTGCTGTCTTTGAATGGAACTGAACAAAGCTTCTTTTGTTTTTAAGGTTGAAATCTCGCAAGAGCCCTGAGGCTTTCAAACCGAAACACGCTTTCCTTTCTCATCAAAACGCTCCACCATGATCCATAGCCTTTTCTTGATCAACTCTTCTGGGGATATTTTCCTGGAGAAACACTGGAAAAGCGTGGTCAGCCGTTCTGTTTGCGATTACTTTTTTGAGGCACAGGAGAGAGCTACTGAGGCAGAAAATGTACCTCCAGTGATCCCTACCCCTCACCACTATCTCCTAAGTGTTTACCGCCACAAGATCTTCTTTGTGGCTGTGATCCAGACAGAGGTCCCACCTCTCTTTGTCATTGAGTTTCTCCACCGAGTTGTGGACACATTTCAGGTGCGTGAAGGTGGGGATATCCTTCTGTGTAAACCATGTCTATGTGTTTATAGTTCAGCCGCCTGTGTGCTCAGCCCATGGTAAGAAACATTTGTGAAAAACCCAAACTTGGACCTTGCTCACTTCCTCTCCCATCTGGGGAACCCTTGGGTGACAGTGTTTATTTTATCTGCCAATCTATTATTTGGCTGAAGGGCAACCTCCAGAAATTGCTTCAGTTCCAAGTTCAAAAAATAGCTGAGAACAATAGTCTTAGGGTTTCTCTAGTCTCTATCTGTCCGTTTTCTCAGAAGCTGACTTTCTCTCCCATTGGATCTAGGATCTTTGATTTTATTCATGGTCAGAACCATTAAGAAGCCATGTGATTTGTGTGACCAATCAGTCCTGTGGACTAGTTTCTTCTTTATGCCTTTGGTTTCCTTCCATCTCTTTTGCTCTGTTTGAGTAGAGACCAATCGGTTTATCTCAGATGGTGGTTTGCACGCTTTCAAGACCCTAGATGTTACTCACCAAACTAGGATGTAAAGCACTGGCTTTATGCCAGTTGACGGAGTCGAACCTTGGGACAAAGGGCAGACCATTTTCAACCATGTATTATGGTCCTATGTAGGGAGGAGCAGCCAATGTTGCTTCCTTTTATCCGAAGGCAACTCTAGACTAAAGCCTAGAGACAGTTACACACTCTCTTCCAGGTGGACATCATCACCATTATTAACACAGCTCACCATTTTATTGAGCACTTACACTGTGCCAGGTATCAGGCACCAAGCACTTTCCATACTTCAGCTCATGTATTTTCTAAGTTTTAGATAAATAGAAGTTGAGCTTTGTCTTCTTACTTCTATTGCGTATTTTTCTGGATCAAAATGACTTGAACCACTAAAAATAGCATTATCATAGCCGTTAGCGCTTCGAGGCAATTTAGAGCCTAGGTCCAATTTATTGTCTGATGAGGGAGCCGAGATTCTGGTACGTGAAGTGCATTGTCAAGGTCAAGCACGCGGTGGTCCAACGGGGACTGGAAAGGGCCTCCTGAGTGTCGATCCCAGAGCT